GCTCGCTCCTCTTACTGTTAAAGAGGCCCTTCGCTATGATGAGTGGGTTGCGACTCTTCATGCTGAAAATTGTGCTCTCTTGGACAATCACACTTGGGATTTGGTGCCTCGTCTTCCCCATTACAATGTTCTTGGCAATCAGTGGGTCTTTCATGTTAAGTATCTTTCTGATGGCTCTATTGAACGTTTCAAGAATCGTCTTGTGGCCAAGGGTTATCATCAACGGCCTGGGGTTGACTTCACCGACACATTCAGTCTGGTCGTCAAACCGGTCACTATTCGCATTGTCTTCACCATTGCTCTCTCTCAAGGTTGGTCCATTGCTCAGTTTAATGTCAATAATGCATTTCTTCCGTGTCCATTGCAAGAAGAAGTCTATATGGTTCAACCTCCTGGCTTTGTTGATCCTTCACGGCCCACCCATGTTTTTCGTTTTCGTCAAGCAATCTATGGGCTTTGTCAAGCTCCTTGTGCCTGGTACAACGCCTTGAGTCAGTTTCTCATTGAATTTGGTTTCACAAGACTCACTACGATGCATCTCTGTTTGTCTACTCTCATGGGCCAGTGTTACTCTATTATTTGGTCTATGTTGACGATCTACTTCTCACTGGCAATGATCCTGTCACCCTACACAACTTCCAACAGGCTCTTTCTCTCGATTCTCTCTTAAAGCTCTGGGTGATGTCAATTACTTTATGGGCATTGAGGTCATTCCCACTGCCACCGACTACATATTATCTCATCATAATACATGGTGGATATTCTTAGTCACTTTCTTATCACTAATGCTAAGGCGGTTGACACGCCCATGACTGCATCCACGACTCTCACTCTCTCCGATGGTAGCCCACCATCCGATGCTACTCACTTCCGCTAGGTCCTTGGTGCTCTCCAGTATCTTGTCTATACAAGTCCGGACATTGCCTACTCTGTCAACAAGCTCTCTCAGTATATGCATGCCCCTACGGCGTATCACTAGCAGTGTGTCAAGTGCCTCCTTCGCTACGTCTCCGGCACCATCACATATGGCCTCTCCATTCATCGCTCTGTCAGTCCCCTCGCTCTCTCCGCCTTCGTTGATTCTGACTGGGCCGACAATCAGGACAACCGCTCCTGCACATCCGGTTACCTGATTTACTTCGGCTCCACTCTCGTCTCTTGGCGCTCCCAATCGTGGCTCATTCTAGTACGGAAGTTGAATACCGCGCCATTGCTAATGCCACTGCCGAGTTGAAATGGCTTCAAAATCTTCTCCATGAGCTCCACCAGCCGGCTCCTTCTGATCCTCATATCTACTCCGACAACATTGGCGCCTTGTACTTCTGCTCCAACCCTGTGTTTCACTCACGCATGAAGCACTTTTTGCGCCAACTAGTTCAGGTCGGTCGACTGCACGTCTCCTACATTCCGACTTCCCATCAACTAGCCGACGCCCTCACCAAACCCTTACCAGTTGCTCGGTTTCTTCTTCTAAGGTCCAAGATCGGCGTCGTTGATACCTCCTCTGTCTTGCGGGTGCGTATTAGAGAAAATACATAAAGGTATTTTTTTTATTTCATTCTATTTGTTCATTTTTCAGTTCCTACTCTTGTGGAACGTGAGATAGTGGGTAGCTTTCAGTTGCTAGAAATTCTCTACTTCTCTGATAAGCCCCAGCTCGCTGAAGCTTGTAGGACAGAGCACGCAGCCAATAAACCTTCGTTCCTTTTGATCAAACTCGAAGGAAAATAGAACAAGAACCGGGTAAAGATGGGTTTGGAAAGTGCAACTTCAACGCCAACTAGGGGAAGAGGCTCGATCCAATGAAGGTAACAACTCGTCCACGATCGATCGATGCTAAGCTCGCTTGTTTGATGGAATCAAATCAACTCAACTAAGGACAATTCACGAGACAAAAGCTCTATGAACTAAACGTGTTCTTTGATTAAAACTTGAGTTCAATTACAACGGAAACGAAAACTTAAATAGACCCTAGCTAGCCTCTTAAACAAGGTAAACTTTCATAAACCTAACACAACTCGAAAACCTAAGCTTAAACATAAAAGGAAATAGCAATCCGAAACATATAAGGAGAACAACTCTCTTCTTCAACTCCAAGTCACCAACAGCCTTGATGCAATATTTGAGGCTCTCAATCGATGACTTCCAGGTGCACTATGAATCATCCAATGCCTCTTCTCTGTAGATTAAAGTGCATAGTTCATGGGGTATGAAGCCCCTGACTCGAAGCACAATCATCATTCCGGAATAGAGCTTCAAAGTAGCCTCTTTGAACTCAGTTTTATACTTAGGCAGATTCTGGCAGTTTTCCTGTGTTGAGATAGCCTTTTGTCGAGCCTGAAAATTGACCTTCCAAGTTCCACCTTCAGCTACCAAACACTCCATCTTATAGAAGAGAACTTGAAATTCAAAACAAGCTCCCAAACTCACCATTCCGTTGCTCCAATAAAAAGAACCAAGTCCCCAAAGTACACTATCTGAACTCGTCAAAAAACTTAACCAAAATTCCACATTGTTCAAATGATTTGGGTAACCTTCTTGACCAAGTAATTCCAGCTTGGTAAGGAGTCAATCTAGGGTTTTATCAGGCCCTCCCTCTTCAAAAAGCTTTGTCCTCAAAGCTGGTTCCTTCCTCTTCTCAAACCTGCACAAAATTGACACCAAATCGGGTCGAAAGATGGCGCCCCAAACGGCCAATTCCGGAAAACTGTGACAACGTTCTTCCTCCATTGAATTGCGGACTTTTGATTTCGACATCCCCAGATCAATTCAGGGTTACCATTATCTTCGCCACACCTCCAATTACCATTGTATTCGCCACACCTGCAATTGGGGCTGCCGAAATTTTCGGACATCCCTTCTCTACGAAGCTGCAGGGTCGTCTTGCTTCAATTCACTCCCAGATGCCCCACCTATTAACCCCGATTTTAAACGTATTTGAGCGTTTCTAGAGCAAAAGTTGCTCGAATCGGATCCTGTAAATCAGGTCGATTCGACTCGTTCTGGTTGGGGAAGGAGCTTCTCGATGCTTCAAGGAAGGTCGATATGACAGTCCTCTATGTATACTTGTGAAAACTGGAAGTTACATCCGAAGAGACACATCCTTTCACAAAAAAAGAGAAGTTACCTTTGTGAAAGGATACATCTTTCATAATATACAAACACTAATTAATTAATTAATTAAACTGCCAAAAGACTCTATTCTTATACTTTCCTTCTCACATCAATGTGGTATTAGAACTCTATTGACTAACTCTAACAATCCCCCACTTAGTCAACAAGAGTTGAGAATACCTGCCTCGAACAAGTAACGCATACATAAAGGTATCTTCTCGATTTGAACCTTTACCTAGTGTAAGCAACTCAAATTTGATAACGAATCAGTGACGAGTTTAAGCCTCGGAGTCACGATCCAAAATTATAACCGGAGATGCCACACACATACTTGTCTATTCTCTAAACCAAAACCACCAACAAGGGTAGCACTATTATGGCCATGTGTTGATCCTGTTTTATGAGCATACACAAAAGTTGACCTCTACTTTTGTTAGAGCGGCACCACTCTTAATGCTTACATAGGTGACATTCCAAATGAACGTCATTAAGAGCTCTATAACTCATCTCACGAGTTCTATGACTCACCCTTCTTTGGACTAGTTTACTTGCACAATAAATTAGTACATTAGTTAGAGTAACTTGTTATTACCACATTGAACCTTTTAATTAGTGAATACCTAAAGAAAAGGTTGGGTTCCCATTACTTCTAACTATACAAAAGGTCTCAATCCCATTTCTTGGGATGTCTCATTGATTATGCCCTCTTCGCATTCCCTTGGTAAGAGAATCTGCCAAAATATTGCATGATCTTACATACACGATAGAAATGATTTCATTAGTAATCAAATGCTAACGTAATCCTGTTTTATGAGCCAAAATACTGCATGGTCTTCTCGTTTGCTATCTCATCCTTGTTCGGTTCATGAGGTTTGTGAGTTAGCTCGACTCAGTGGTTCATTGAGTTTGACTGGTAACCGGGGTCGTTTCGAGCTATGGAGCTGGCTCGACAAGTGTGATTAGATAGCTAGTTTGACTAGCGATTTATAAGCGAATCGATATTATATATAGTAACCTATAATGTGACTTCTTATATAATTCATGTGTTTGTTAGATTATATATCTCATAATTATATATAATTATGAGTTGTATAATAAGCCTTCTGATTGTTGAATATTTTTATATAGAGTAATAAGCCTTCTGATTGTTGAATATTTTTATATATTTTATTATTAGGATTGTTGATACTTAATAAAAATGGAGATTCTAAATGACACGTTTGCTCTTTAAAAAAAAAAAAACGAGAGAAGAAGAAAGGTGTGCATATTATCTAGATGGAAACACCATCGCGACTATTTATGAATATTCATTCACATATTTTTTCCAGAATAAAAGCATATATCAACAACATAAAATTTTGAAAAATAGAGTAAGAGAAGGCAGAAAATGAAAATAAAACTACAAGAATTCTTAGAATTTGGCAGGATAAAAGAAAATAGTTGGGATAGTCGGATAGAGTAGAAAAATATATTTCCACGAATCTGGATATAGAATCTTTCGGGGAAAAAGATACAGAATCTTTATATTTCTAAGATAATCGTTTGAACCCAGAACCTTTAAGTCCATGCTACAAATATAATATCGAGTTAGCCAAAATAAAAATAAAAAATTTGAAAAAGAACTCGCACAACACGAACACGGTTTGACTTGCCCAGCTAAATAAGGTCGTCTCGTCTTGAGTTGAGTTCTAATTGGTTCAGCCACAACCCCTTACCTTACGGCCACACACTGACTAGCACACGTAACTCCTTTTTTTCCCCTATACCCAGGAAAAAGAAATAACAATTAACAACCCTACTCCAGTTTCCATTATCAAAAAAGAGGGGAGAAAAAATTAAATCCAATTAATAGATACCCTATTTGACTCCAACTAAAAGACTTCACTATTTTTTCATTTTCGTATAAAACCAAAGTCTCCCGGCCCCGTCTCTCTGCCGCACACCAAAATCAAAACGCTCTCTTCTCCAAATTGGCACTCCGCCGCCGCCGCTCCCTCTCAGGATGGCCAGCACGGAAATCCAGTCCGACCGCGAGAAGGCCCGATTAGCGGCCGACGAAGAGGAATCATCCCCAATTGAACAGGTCCGGCTCACCGTCAGCCCCACCGACGACCCGAGCCTCCCCGTATGGACCTTCCGAATGTGGTTCCTGGGCCTCTTATCCTGCGCCCTCCTCTCCTTCCTCAACCAGTTCTTCGCCTACCGTACCGAGGCCCTCGTCATCACTCAGATCACCGTCCAGGTCGCCACGCTCCCCATCGGCCGGTTCATGGCGGCGGTCCTGCCCACGAAGCAGTTCCGGGTCGGGTCCAAGGCCTTCTCCCTCAACCCGGGCCCCTTCAACACCAAGGAGCACGTACTCATCTCCATCTTCGCCAACGCCGGCAGCGCCTTCGGCGGCGGGTCCGCATACGCCGTCGGGATCGTCAATATCATCCGGGCGTTCTACCACCGCAAGATTTCCTTCCTCGCCAGCTGGCTACTCATCATCACCACCCAGGTAAATTCAATTTAACTTCCCTTTTTTTTATTGACTACTTTATTAGTTCCTTCACTTTCCTTTCCCATAAATCCATAATTATTAGTTTCTTTCTTTATTTGATGCCATAGATGGCACAATCTTAGAATTTTTTGATAATTATTATGGCATAGGAAAGCTTTGGTGAAACCATGACACTTTGTGATTATTGACGTAATTCGGTCCTTATTCATTTAAGAGTACGGACCGGACCATTCACGCAAATAAAAATTCAATTTTTTTTCTTCCTCCTTATGTATTGCCCATGAATTTTCAAAATTTTCCTCCTTATCACATCTTGAGTAAACATCACTATTATATAAATAAACACAAATTTATATTATATAAAATAAACACAAATTTATATTAATAAACTAAAAAATGCCTAAATTAGGTGTTGTACCTCCTCTAAACCTTTTCCAGTTTTCCTATGACATATTTATTGTACCCCTTCGACATGTCCATTGTAAAATAAGGTCCCAGGTTCGACCCTCACCGCCACCATGGTGTTCCCGGAGGCATCCTGCTATCACCCGGACCGCCGGCGGAGGTCCCGGGGTTTAGCCCGACTACGGCACCACAAAATGTGGTGATCGTGGAGGGTGTTCCTCGTTATAAAAAAAAAAAAAACATGTCCATTGTAAAATAATTTTTTTCGTAATTTTTATGCATAATATTATTAGAAGACACAGTCTTTAATTTAATTATGTTGATAATTATTCAATGTAGGTTCACGTTCGAATTTATCTTATTCTTTGCTAGTGGAGTGTGCATCTGATAATTTTACTTTCAGCATATATACTTGATAATAAATTAACCGGATAATCTAAAATTTTCCAACGTTTCGATTGGGCTGGGCCTTGTAGGTGCTGGGCTACGGGTGGGCTGGGCTGCTTCGGAAGTACGTGGTCGAGCCAGCCCACATGTGGTGGCCCGCCACTCTGGTCCAGGTTTCCCTCTTCCGGGCCCTGCACGAGAAGAGCGGCGACGACGAGAAGGGAAGGACGACGAGGGCGAAGTTCTTCGTCATCGCACTGGCATGCAGCTTCCTCTGGTACGTAGTCCCGGGCTACCTATTCAGCACAATCGCGACCATATCATGGGTCTGCTGGGCCTTCCCCAAGTCCGTAAAAGTCCAGCAGATCGGGTCCGGGATGCACGGGCTTGGGCTGGGAGCATTCTCCCTCGACTGGTCCACCATCGCGGCCTTCTACGGAAGCCCACTCACCAGTCCATTCTTCGCCATCGTCAACAGCCTGGCCGGCTACTTACTCATCATCTACGTGGCCGTCCCCGTCGCCTACTGGGGGTTCAACCTCTTCGGCGCCAACAAGTTCCCCATCTTCTCCTCCCACCTCTACACCTCCCGCGGCGAGATCTACGACATCACCGCCATCGTCAACGACAAGTTCGAGCTCGACCCCGCGAAATATGCCGAGCAAGGGAGGGTCCACCTCAGCATGTTCTTCGCCCTCAGCTATGGGTTCGGGTTCGCCGCCATTGCCGCCACCCTCACCCACACCGTCATGTTCTACGGGAAGGAGATGTACGCTCGATTCCGCGCTTCGTACAACGAGAAGGAAGACGTTCACACGCGCTTGATGAAGCAGAACTACGACGACATCCCCGGGTGGTGGTTCCACTCCCTTCTCGCCGTCAGCATCGCCGTTTCCCTCGTCCTCTGCACCGTCTTGCAGGATCAGGTTCAAATGCCGTGGTGGGGACTTATCTTCGCCAGCGCGCTGGCCTTCGTGTTCACCCTCCCCGTCAGCATCATTACCGCGACAACTAACGTCGTAAGTATATATATATTTTTTTTATTAGCATTGTTTCTGATTAATTTCATAACTAGTACTGTTTTACCGGAAAAAATTGATACAATTTCAGTTCTCAACTTAATTTGTACTATATCCATATGAATTATGTCTTGCTCGGAACAAAATTTTCTTCGTAATTAAGAGATATTTATTTATATGATAAAAAGATTAAAACGTCGTCGTTAATTGTGGTTAATTTTTCTTTTTGCAGACACCGGGATTGAACATTATAACGGAGTACGCAATGGGCGTGATACTACCTGGGCGGCCCATCGCGAACGTATGCTTCAAAACATACGGGTACATGAGCATGGGGCAAGCGGTGTCGTTTTTGAGCGACTTCAAGCTCGGCCACTACATGAAGATTCCGCCGCGATCGATGTTTCTGGTGCAGTTCATCGGCACGGTTTTGGCGGGAACGATCAACCTCGTGGTCGCGTGGTGGCTGCTGACGTCGGTGAAGAACATATGCCAGGACGATCTGCTGCCCGCGGGCAGCCCGTGGACCTGCCCGCAGGACCGGGTGTTCTTCGACGCGTCGGTGATATGGGGCCTGGTGGGCCCAAAGAGGATATTCGGGTCCGAGGGAAACTACGGGTCCATGAACTGGTTCTTCCTCGTGGGCGCGGTGGGCCCGGTGTTGGTGTGGCTGGCCCACAGGGCTTTCCCGGGCCAGGGGTGGATCCGGCTGGTGAACCTGCCCGTGGTGTTCGGGGTGAGCGGGATGATCCCGCCGGCGACGGCGATTAATCTCAACAGCTGGATCGTGGTGGGGACGGTGTTCAATTTCTTCGTGTTCAGGTACAGGAAGAAGTGGTGGCAGAGGTACAATTATATTTTGTCGGCGGCGCTGGACGCCGGGGTTGCGTTCATGGCGGTGGTGCTCTATTTCTCGGTGGGGATGGAGGAGAGGAGCTTGGACTGGTGGGGGAATGCCGGTGAGCACTGTGATCTGGCGGCTTGCCCGACGGCGAGAGGTGTGGTCACCGATGGTTGTCCGGTGTTCTAGTTGTAATTTTGTAACTTTGTCTCGTTGCATCTTTTGCTTTGGTTGTCTTTAGTTCATTTCTATGTGTCGGTCCGTACTGGTATTCAAGAGTTCAATTTTATGGGTTTTTTTCTTTGATATCTCATTTTTGTTCATCTATTAGTGTTTTGATACATACGTTACAGTACACAGAACTACGGTAGGAGCGTTAAAGCACATTTCTATGTAGAAATGTTTTGCTGATTTAGAAGTTTAAAATCATAATCTTATAAGATTATAAACGCGTTTTAACTAAAATAGTTATAAATACGGTGAAGGGGGGTCATTACTTCAAAATCGGCATCCCTTTGGTCGATGAAGGGGAAGTCATTTACTCCTCAATTCTTTGGTCAACATAATACTTCTAAATTATAATAATAATTTGTGTTTCATAAGTTACAAGTTCGAATCCTAACATCGGCGATTACTATATTGTTATTCTTACAAAGTCGGATAATCTTACTAAATTCATAAATTTTAAATACGCCGCATCAACTCAAAACATGAAACAATGTTACGAAAATCTTGCCGCACAAGCTTTGACATCACTGCTACCGCACAACATCTCTCCATTCAACTTATCCACAGCTTCAAAAGCTCCTCCCCCGTCGCTTCTCTGCCCAACAAAACCAAAAATCAACATTTATTAACCATGCCGAAACAAATTAATCTAATACCACATCGATATAAGAGGTGTGTTAATTAACCTTGTAATAATCAACAGCAACAAAGTTAGCCCATCTGTTCCCAGCTGCAGTGTGACATTTCCCTAGCATCTCCATAAGTCCCTCTGAATTGTACTCGCATGAAATCCCTCTAACAGGGAGGGTTCCAAAATGATTCACAAGCACCAAACTCTTGCTCTTGTCATCTAATGCAGCTGACTCTCTTCTGTTTGTGCAGTTTCCCTTCAGTCCACCATTGCCATCTGCAGAATCCCGAAATTCTCAACTATCTTGGTGTTGATCAGAGCCCAATCCACAGGTGAAAACAGCAGCTGAAGAGAAAACACTCACATTGGGTTTCAACCATGAAGTTCCATTGATAGGCTATTCTTTCAGTTTCTTGCTTAGATCTATCAGAGGTGAAGACTATGAGCCTTTGGTTATTGGCAACCATGTCCTTCACCAGAGGCCAATCTTGGCCATCCCTGGGCATTTTGGACACTGGAAACCAGTACTTGTCGAGGCCAGAAGACCTGAAGAGTCGTGACAGTTCATATGGAGCCTCAACGTGATCTTCGAGGATCAGGGTCAATATTTCTGATGGGTTTGCTGACATGAAAGCCTTTATTTCCTTCAGAGTGTCCATTGCAGGTTCCTATAGTTTGGTTTATGTTCAAGAGGTGAGGAATTGAAAACTCTGCCTAAACTTAATCCAATTTGTTACTCTAAGAGCGAGGTAAATTTCCATGTAGTACTTACAAAAGCTGTGAAATCATGACATTTCCCTTTGAAAGAATGGCACAGCCATATCCCATCCTTGAATTCATATGTATCCAGCATCAGTGCTCGGACTCCGTGCTGCATACGGATTACAGCCCAAATCAGTCGAAAGGGTATTATATCAAAATGGATTTAAATGGACTATATAAGATGCTCAAATAAAACGATTATTATGATTATGATTATGATTACATTCAGCTGTTGGGTGACAGTGTCCTCTTGGTTGGCAGGGGTGAACCTTGGAACCCCAGTGTGAGATGGCTCTCCTCTGATGGCAAACGAATTGTGGGTTGTCAAAAATGCGTACTTATTGAAAGGCAGAGAGTTGTTCTGCACAATTAACATTAAAAATTAAAACAAAACTGGTAGTGGTAGTGGCAGTGGCAGTAGCAGTAGTAATAATACTAAATCAATCGATATACCAGAAGCTTGAACGGATCTGAAATGGTTGATCTAACACATCTTGATCCCCTGAATTCAAGAGGGCAAGACAAACAGTACAGCCCCGCCGCGCAATCTCGGTCGGTTGAGCATTCATCTCTGAGCTGTACGAGGAGGAGTCAGCCACCCAGTTTGTGGTATGAATCTCTGGGAGAAAAGGAGTACTAGGAACTGAATGTTTGTTAAGAAAAATACTAACCTGGCATTCGCCATTTGAACAAGCTGCTGCTGCTGCTGGAAGAACTGTGGTCGAGTTAGCAGAAACATGACTAGTACTGCTGATTAACATCAAGAATATGATGTCCAGCACCATGTTGCTTTTTGGGTATGCTTTTTTCTTTCGTTGCTTCAGTTTGCAGGATATGGTTTACGTGAAGGAAAAGGTGTGATGGTGGAAGAATTGCAGAGGGTTCTGATCTGATGGAGTGCTTAATAATAAGGCAAGGGGACTGTTAACTAAATGGGTTAGGGAGGAAGTTGATGAGGCTGAAGCAACAGCAAGTCGTTAATTGCAGGGAAATAATTCTGTGATGAAACGTTTGGGAAATGGTGGGGAGTCTAACGGTTTCTGAAGCAGAGCAGACTTAATTAACACATGCCTTGTGTTTGTGTTACGCAAGCTTAGCCACTACTAATTAGAGTATGCCAGTTTAGTATGGCTTTCATTCTGTTGAATTTTCGCTGTGATAGTAAAGGAATACCTTCCTTCTCAGGGGACCACAAAAATCTGCCAATAACAAAGGAAAGACCAACGGAAGGCAAAGCTCTAATCCGTAGCGTAGTAGAGACAAGCAGATTTCCAGAGCGAAAGTACAGGAGGAAGCTTCCTCATTTGGGACCGACAAATTTGGTAGCGACTAGTAAAGGACAGGCATGTAGGCTGTAGCTAACAGCCCCTCTTGTAGAAGTTAGATAATTTCTGTACATTAGTTAATAAATATTTTGTTTAATGTTTAATATATAAAAGTCAAGATTTGTACATTAGTTAATAAATATTTTCGCCCAAATCATCGTCTTGGCGCGCCAATTCACAACACATCTCGAAACACTATCGACGAAATCATAAGTTATTCTCTTCCACTGTTAGCCAAGACCGCTATCGAAGATCCATACCATATCTCGAAATACTTTTGGTGGAATTCTAGGTTGTACCCATCCACCATGTCCCAAGACCTCTACCAAAAATCCATACCGACATGTTATGTGTTGTCGAGTTTTGTATTAGGACCGAGTTTTATATTCTTTAGTGTTTTCATATTTCTCTTTTTCTTTTGGTTAAGCATGACAATTAAACCCAACTAAGTCAAAACGACTTGAACCCGACTTTAGTAATTTTAAATTTTTCTTTTTCTTTTCGTTGAGAATGACAATTGAACCCAAACCCATGGTATTGACGAATTTTGTATCGAGAGCAAGTTTTATCCGCTTTTGTAGTTGGCATGTTGGGTCGACTGTGAATTTGTTAAAACTAGATTCAACCGGCCAAAGCAAGTTGAACACGGTTGACGAGTTTTGGATCAAGAGCGAGATTTCTCTGTTTAATGTTATTTTATTTTTCCGTTTTCTTTTTGTTGAGAATGACAATCGAAGCAAGACTCGATGTTAACCAGTTTTGTATCGAGCGTGAATTTTATCTGCTGTTAGAATTGACATGTTGAGCCGACTGTGAATTGTTAAAACTTGGTTCGAACCAGTGAAGGCGAGTTGAATTTGGTGTGTAGAGGTTTTGGTGGGGAACGAATTTTACCCGCTTGAGTGTTTTTTATTTTTCTTTTTCGTTTTGGTTGAGAATCCAAACCTATGAGTATCCAACCTAATTTAATTTGATATAAATGACTTGAACCCGATGTTTACAGGCTTTCAGGAAAGAGTGAGTTTTATTCGCTTTTGTAATTGGCGGGTCGAGTCGGTTGAGAATTTGTTACATACTCGGTTCAACCATATCAAAGAGAGTTGAACTTGATGTTGTCGAGTTTTGGGTCGTGAGTGAGTTTTATCCACTTTGGTGTTTGTTAATTTCTCGAGCGAGTGTGAGTTTTATACCGTTTTTAATTGTCTGGTCGAGTCGGTTGTGAATTTGTTACAAATTCGGTTCAACCTCATCAAAGAGAGTTGAACATGATGTTGCCGAGGTTTGGGTAATGAGCGAGTTTTATCTGTTTAGTGTTTGTTAATTTCTCTTTTCTGTTTTGGTTGAAAATGAACTTGAAAAAAGCAAAAAAAAAAATAAAAACTAATCAATAGTGTTACGAGAGAAGATTTAACACAGAAATCATTTGCTCAACGACCCTTCTCGCTTATTAAAGTTCATCGCTGCATCGACTACATGAATTTGTTAATGAAAGGCCCTTTACTTTTGGGTAAAATTCAAACTATTAATCTTTGAAATATCATGTTCTTGCTCACACGCGAAGCGATAGCAAGCGGATTTATGCTAGTACATATATATAGTTGTATGTATTTTGTCGATTTAAAACTTCTGTATCCGTATTATTGTCAAGTAACTTCATTTTTTATTCATTTGACAGTTCCCGTTCTAAACACGTATAAACCTCATATAAGATATTTAATATTCTTACTTAATGAACGAAATTTCTCACATAACTATTATTTATATATTAATTTATTTTTAAGATTGTTAATTTTTTATATATTTTTTTTCGTTGAATAATTTTTTTTTATATTTTATCACTATTGATGTACTATTAGTTTAGAGATGAAGTAAAATACCCTTACGTATTTTACATTACTTACCCGTAACATATTTTACTAACTATATTTTCGTATTTGTGTTAGGGTTATTATATGAGTGAATCATTATACTCTATACAAACCCTGTGTGAGTTCAGTAATAACACACAAGAATTCCACCGAACTCTCATTTATCAACGTGATATCAGAGTCTGGTTCCAAGATCCAAAAACCCTAAACCATTTGATTTCTTTTCTTTGTAAGCGTTCCACGATTCATAACTAATCCATATTAGTGTTAGAGTTATTATAGATAGGGGTGTGCAAATACAACCGTAAACCGACCCATCATTGGTGGATCCAGGTAGAGATGGCAATTACCCACCCATGGGTAATTATACCCAAATCCAAGTAAACCCATTCATAATGGGTTGGGTATGGGTGAAGTGCATATGGGTTTGTAGATGGGTTTGGGTAAGGTATGTATATTGCTTCCATAATCTAAATGGGTATGGGTTGGATATGAATATCGATTTACTTGAGGGTGTTTTAACTACACATGAAAAAACTGGACCTATTTGTAAAACTTGAAATGTTTAGGTACCAAAATGTAAGACCAAAAAAATTTAGCTACCAAAACATAATTTTCCATCGATAGTTTGAGGACTTATATGCAAAAAAAAAATTAAATTTAGGTACTAAATATGCATATCTATTAAGTTTAGGTACCAAACTATAATTTGCATTTGGGCATGTGTACAAACCCAAATCCATTTGTTATAAACCCAACCCAACCCAAAGTAAATGGGTATGGGTACAAACCCATCAACCTCTACCCATATTAGGGCTTTTAATGAACCAAGCCACTCATGAACGACTCGGTGTGCGACTCGAGAAAAACTCGTTCGACACTCGATTCGTTTTAATCGAGCCGGCTCGTGAACAAGCTCGTTAACTAAACGAGCCGAACTCGAGCCATACCATGTTGAGCTCGAAAGCTCGCGAATAAGCTCATTTAATGGTCAATCTTGAGCTATCATGAACATTTTATGAGTTGAACTCGATTTTGGGCTCGTTAAGCTTATATGACGAGCCGAGCTCGAGCTTTCATTTTCATAAACGAGTCGAGCTCGAGCTTGCATATTAAAGCTCGTGACGAACACGAGCCTGGAAATATATTAACGAGCCGAGCCCGAACTATGGCAAAGCTCGGCTCGACTCGGCTCATTAACAGTCCTACGGCCATATCCATCTATTTGGATTTCATACCCAACCCAATTGGGTTGGATAATAAAAAACCCATGGGTATGAGCAAAATTGTCATCCCTAGATTAGGGGTGGAGACCCCAGGCCCCGGTCACTGCCGCCACGTTCCCCTTCGACTAGGTCACTGCCGCGACGTTCCTCTTCCACAAACGCCAAGTAAGCGTCGATGTTTGTGCTATCCACCAACGTTCCTCTTGCACGTTTTTCGTTTTTTATTCCTGTCCTGAAGAATATGACGGCGTTGATGTTTGTGATATCCACCGGCGTTTGTGATACCCGTCGGGAAGATGGCGTTTTTTTAATGACGTTTGTCATCGTCATCCAGCTTTTGTTTGTCGGTCAACCTTCAAGCCACCGGTCCTCTTACCGTCGCTGCCAGAAACGCTCATTGCCATCGTTTAGGTAGGTTATTAATTTTTTTAGGCAAAATACACTTCTATATCCATAACTTTCACGTTTGTGACAAATATATCCATAACTATTGAAATACACGAAATACCCAAAAATTTGTACTATCGTGTGACAAATCTATCCATTTCCGTTACAAACTATAACGCCGTTTGTTACGGCGTCAGTAAATAGGACGGAATAGTGAGTAGGACCATAATCTTCTGCCACCTAAGATCCAGGTCAGCAAAGGGAACCACGTGGACGCCATGTCAGCAAATTTCCCCCCTTATACCCTACACCGTCGAGAAAAAAATTTCCCACCCACCCCCTTTTCTCAAACTCGATTTACGATTTAGGGTTCCATCGGCTGCGCTGGAGAAGAGCTCGCCCGCCGCCGATCCAACGGTTCCCTCCGACAGCAGCCTCACCGCGCCCCTTGCCGCGTCCCTGGCGGCGCCTCCACGCTACGATCTAGGGTTTCACATTCACCTTTCTAATCCCTGTTCGAATCTACTCTGTCGCTTTCCAACCTTTAAAGCAAGCTTCGACAATTGAAAGCCACAACACAATAAACCAAATAAGAACCTTTTGCCCACAATTGAAAGCCACAACCCAAGTAATTGAAGGGTACCCAGTGCTCACCAGCTTCCAAAACCGAAGAGAAAAGAAATCGATTGCTGGTTGCGATTAGGGTTTTCGGAAAAACCCTTTCTTGGCGGTCCTAGGCTTCGACGGTGCCTTTGCCATGAACAGGACGCTTGGGTTTCGTCGGGAAACGGCCATCGTCAGTCTATTACCTCGGAAGATGCATGCACGACAACATCTAGCAAAGGCGGCGACGGCGGGGGATGGAACGAAATAGGGGGGGGGGGATCGACCGTCGTGGTCGGAGGGAAGAAAGGGAAGAAAGGGAGATGAAGGGGCGAAGGGAAATTTGGGGATACCTCGTTGACCTTCGAAACTGGCGGGGGATGATCCTCGTCGACCGTCGTGGTCGGAGGGAAGAAAGGGAAGAAAGGGAGATGAAGGGGTGAAGGGAAATTTTGGAGAAGAAAGTGAATCAGTGGGGATTAGTGGGGGTGCAAAACGCAATATCGTTTTTCCTCGTTTTTTTTCCCACATGGATTAGTGGGGATGCTAAAATGCCAACTCAGCCTTCCC